ATTCTTTATGCCTTTAGTCAAGGTGATGAATTTGAGGAAGGAAATTTTTTAGTTATGAACAATGGGATAAATTTTTGTGTGTTTTTTAATAGTTTACTCTAAAATTTTATTGATATATTAATGAAGTACTATTTGTAAATTTTTTGAGAAATAATGATTCTGTTCAAATACCAGATGAATTCTAAATATTTAGAATTGTTACAAATTTTGTTTAAAAATGGATTAAAAGAATTGGCAAATTTAGAGATTATTAGAAGATTAAGACCAGACCATCAAATATGCTTATATAATTCTGAGAGAGGCAGGGAGGAAAACTTACTTTATTTATATGTATGCTTCTTATTTTATATCCTTCCGTTCCATCTGACAATTTACATGCATATAGCTTTTGCCACTAAGTTGCTTAGGCCCTTTCTGAATTGCTGAGGCTGACCTCGACTTTTTAATCCTCTTTCCTCAGCCTCCCAAGTCACTGGAAATATAGGCATGAGCCATCACATCTGGCATTGGAAATAACTTTCAGGAAAATGTTTATTAATTCAGAGCATGCAACACATTGAAATATCTGTTTAGTAGGTTTAAAATATGGAAAACATTCTCTTTTTAATCTTCTAAATAAAAAAAATTGAAAATTCTTAAGAGTGTGAGAAAAAAGCAGAGAGGGAAGGAGAGGGTTAACTGTGGTTTTGGAGAAACAAGCAGATTCTGGAGTGAGTTAAGAATTTCAGCAAACCTAGCAATGATGTTAGGCCGGTGATACCACAGGCTGTGGTTTGAGAAACACTTGTCATTAAACCAAGACAGAATTGGGGCCAAGGGAGAAGAATGTGAGAGATTGCTAGAATGAATCCAGGCTGACTTTTCTCATTTACATATAAGAAACACAGTCAGGAGCTGTAGTGCAGGGGAAGTTGCTATGAGAACTTTTTAAGGTTTCTGGAACATGTGCCGTTTTCCAATGTTCATTTTCTTTTTTTTAGCAGTAAGTCTTAAACAAAGGCCTGCCTGCTTATTCTTAGAATTCCTGAAAAAGGAAATAGCTAGAAAGAATTGTTCTATTCTATAGTTAACACAGACGAGGAAAAAAGCCAAGTGGATGACAACTTTGAAAAAGAACTTGGACAGAAAATCCAAGGATATGGGAATAATGTGAGAGCAGCATGTGACCACAGGGGCTTAACAGATGAGAGGTCCGTTTGGGCTTTCCTTGCTCTCACTCTATTTTCCATCCAGTATGGACTGTTTAAGTGGTGGCTTTCTGAGGTGATGGTGGCCCCTAGAATAGACCTGTGATATTCACACACTGAACAGTTGTGATCCAACTATTCCAAAGGTGCTGTTGGTTTTTATTAACTTCAGAATTTCCAACATTTCTTAGGCAGTGACTCCTGTGAATCTCTCAGTATGGATCTGAATGTTTCCTTCCCAAATATCAGTGATCCAGTGTGTTTCTCAATTTTGCTATTTGCAGGAGGGAAAGGAAGGGAGAAGGGGAATAGCATGGATGGTGAAAGGAGACCCTCATCATTATACAAAATACATGTATGAAGATGTGAATTTGGTGTCAACATACCTAATATATAATCAGAGATATGATAAATTATTGTATAATGGTGTATTAAGAATTGTAATGCAAAATAAATAAATTTTTTGAAAAAGAAAATTTTGCTATTTGCCTTTGGCACTGTTCTTCCCAGATTTTTTTTAATTAATAAAAATGAACATTTATTCTGTTATTATTAAATTATATATAGTATATATTTTATATATAAAATACATTATATACATAATATTTTATATATTATTAAATTATATATAGTAGCACTTTGCATATTGGAAATTACTGTACAACTTTATTTTTTATCTTTTTATTTGTTCTTTCTAGATATGCATGACAGTAGAGTGTACTTTGACATATTATACATACATAGAATAAGTATAACTCATCCCAATTAGGATCCTGTTATTGTGGTTTGATATGATGTGGAGTTACATTGTCCATGTATTCATATATAAGGATAGGAAAGATATGTCCAGTTCATTCTACTATCTTTTCTGGTCCCATCTTTCCTTTCTTCCTTTAATTCCCCTTTGTCTAGTCCAATGAACTTTTAATATTCCCCTAATCTTGTTGTGGGTTAGCATCTACATATCAGAGACAACATTCTGCCTTTGGTTTTTTGGGACTAGCTTATTTTAGTTAGCATGATAGTCTCCAGTTCCATCCATTTATTGGCAAATGCCATTATTTCATTCTTTTTTATTGCTTTGTAATATTCCATTGTTATATGTTATATTTTCTCTGTTCACTCACCATGTTGATGGGCACCTCGGTTGGTTCCATAGGTTGACTATTGTGAATTGGGCTGCTATAAATGTTGAAGTGGCTACATCACTGTAGTATGCTGATTTTAATTCTTTGATTATAAACCTAGGAGTGGGATAACTGGGTCAAGTGATGGTTCTGTTCCAAGTTTTCTAAGAAATGTTCATACTGCTTTCCATAGTGGTTGCACCAATTTGCAGGCCCACCGGCAATGTATAAGTGAATCTTTCCCCCTATATCCTTGCCAACATTTATTATTACTTATATTCTTGATAATTGCCATTCTGATTTGGGTGAGATAGAATTTCTGTATAAAAATGCCAAAGTGTAACAATGAGCCCCATCATTATATATCATTATAACACACTAATAAAAATAGGCAAATAAAAGGAGGAAAAAAAAGAAAGGCATGGTGGCACACACCTGTAATCCCAGCAGCTTGGGAGGCAGAGGCAGGAGGATCGTGAGTTCAAAGCCAGCCTCAGCAATTTAGCGAGGTGCTAATCAACTCATTGAGACCCTGTCTCTAAATAAAATACAAAAAAATTGAGCTGGGGATGTGGTTCAGTGGTCAAGTGGCCCTGAGTTCAATCCCCAGTACCAAGAAAAGGAAAGAAGGAAAGAAGGAAGGAAGGAAGGAAGGAAGGAAGGAAGGAAGGAAGGAAGGAAGGAAGGAAGGAAGGAAGGAAGGGCGAATGTGTCTTCTCATAGAGCATGTTAAAATAGCAAAATTTAATGTAGTTTAAAAGTGATCTTATCTTTCCTATTAATTATATTTATTTTGTGGCTGTTTTCTTCAGTTACTTTTTAAAAAAATTTTGTTGTTGTTGACAGTGGACCTTTATTTTTATTTTTTTATGTGGTGCTGAGTATCAAACCCAGCGCCTCACACATGCTAGGCAAGTGCTCTACCACTGATCCACAACTTCAGCCCTTCTACAGTTACTTTTTGTAGTCACAGGGCTTATTAAGGAGTCTTTACTCTTTTTTTAATTTTTATTTTTTAATTAGTTACACATGACAATATAATGACCTTGATATATCATACATTTGAATGAGATGGGATATAATATCTCATTTTTCTGAGTATACAGGTTGCACAATCACATTGGTCATGCATTTACATATATATACACAGTAATAATAATGTCTGTTTCATTCTACTATCCTTCCTATCTCCCCAGCCCTCCCCTGTCCTCCTATCACTTCTCTCTACCTAATCTAGGGTAACGTTATTCTTTTTTTTTCCCCCTCACATCTTTATACATGTATTTTGTAAAACATTGAGGGTCTCCTTCCACCATCCGTGCAATTCCCTTTTTTCCTCCCTTTCCCTCCCACCCCTCTTCCCTGTGTAGAGGTAATCATCACTCTTAACTGTATAACTCAGTGTGGCAGATTTGAAACTGCATATTAATTTATTTCTGTACAAGAAGACATCCCCAAAAATTTTGCTAAGGATCAAAACTCTTTAAAATTAGCCATTAATTTCTATTATAATTACTGTACAAACTATTGTGTTTTTATTAATGGGAAAATAAACTCTTAACCAGGTAGATAGTAGTAATATTATGAATATCATAAATACATGAAGTTACATGCATATCATAAAACTGTTAAATGTGAAAAAAGTTCCCATAGTCACCTCAAAATAAATGATGGCCACAGAGCTCTGTGATTCATTGTCATGAAAAGATATTTTTAAAAAATTTATGTAAATACTAAAATTTTTTTCCCCTCAAGAATTAAAGGACACTGAGACGAGGTGACTTGTAACTAATGCTAAACATGAAAGATATGATAGAAAAGCTTGCTTTATGGCTGGTTTCAGAGATGCTTGCTTATCTGTGGAAGCTATAAAGATAGGATTCCTATGTGAAAACATAAACTCTTATATAGGAAGAAATATCTTCTTTCAATAGTTGGAGGAGTCAAGGAATTTTTTTTTTTTTTGAGTACTGGGGATCTGGGGATTGAACTCAGGGACACTTGCCCACTGAGCCACAACCCCAGCCCTATTTTCTATTTTATTTAGAGACAGGGTCTCAATGAGTTGCTTAGTGCCTCGCTTTTGCTGAGGTTAACTTTGAACTTGGGATCCTTCTGCCTTAGCTTACCAAGCCGCTGGGATTACAGGTATGTGCTACCATGCCCGGCTGAAGCCAAGGTTTTTTAAAAGGATGCTTTTAGAGGATTTGGGTTTCTTCAGTAGAAACTATTGGGGGGAAAAATCCTCTTCTGTTCAGAATAGGGGAGGAATCATTTCTCAAAATAGTGTTAACACCTAATAATTGAATATTTAAAAATTTTATATACTTACAAATTGAATCTTACCTGAGTAATAGAATTCTTAAGTGAATACTAATAAATGAAAGATGTTATTCATGAAAAATTACCATTCATAGTATGCATACAACACTATTATAAACATTAAAACTCCAAGTTACACCTTTATTATAAACTCTTTGCTCAATACAAATTGTACTTTATCATAATTAGTCAGATTTTATTGTAGTGACACATATATAAACTTTCCCAAGAACAATACTGGATTTATTTCAAATATTTAGAAAAATATTTATTAAACCTATTATACCACAGTTTTGAGGAAGCTTTAAAAATACGTAATTGGTACTTATTCAAACATCTAACTATTCATTTGTATTTATTTTAGTTTATGATTGAAATAAAGAATTCTGCAATATCTTGTATACCAGCTGATTGGGTTAAGGTTGGAAGGTAGGTTTAAAAGCAATTTTTTTTTTTTTTATACCTTGAGTTATAATGACGTCTGTATACCTCTTTGCTACCAGACTGTTAATAGCGACAATCTTGAGAATAAAAGCAAGTTTCTCCCTTGGATATTCCTATGAAATTTTTAACCAAAGAGATAATTGTAGCAATTTTTATCATTGATTTAAAAATATTTTTCAAAGGTATATCTTTGTTTTCCTTTTTTTTTGTAAGTTTCCATTTTATTCTTGTAGGTTATTGTACACAAAGAAAAAAGGTTGCAGAACCTTCAATTGTAAGATTAATTTGGTTGCTTGAACTTCTTGATGAATCTGTGCCTGACATTTCTTTTTAGAAGCTGAAATTTCATTTTCTACCTCACTGAACTTCACATTTCTTTATTCTTAATGCTTTCCTTGGCACATAGTTATAATAGTTCTTTACATCTTCTTTTTGTAGCTTATATTTATATCATGAATCGATGATATAAAAGAATCAAAAACAAAATTAGAGAACCACATTGAGATTCTGTCTTTTCTCCTTGGTTAGCATTAATCTTCCAGAGGGGACTCACTTAAAATAGTATTAGAGCAGTGTATACTCCTGTGAATAGTATCCGTTTTGGATTATTTGTTAGTGCTGTTATTAATAAGTTTGAATGAATCTGAGATGAAAATTTTTTTTATTTACCTAAAACAGTTTTAGAGAAACAAGTAGTGGGTAAACATATAAAGGATCTTGGTTAAAGATGAAGGGAAATTTTGACATGATATGTGAATAATTATTAATTATTTTAATTAAAAAAGAAAACTATTTATTATCCATTGCCAGAACAATAGATGCTGAAGGCACATGCCTGGGTTTGTTTAGCTCTGATACCATCTTTTTTTCCTGTGTTATTAGAGCTGCACTATAGATATGAGTATTGCTGATTTGGGGGAATTTTTGTTTCTTTGTTGGCCTGTTTTCCTTTATCTACTTTTGCTCTGTATTACAGCTAATGAATGGCAATATGTTTTATGAAGAGACATTACTTGTAATCATGTTAGTCTACCTAGAACACTAACTGAAATGCCTCAGTAAATGAATTTTGCCAGAAGAGAAGGCTATGATAAATGTTTGCATAGAAGTCTAGGTGATGTAATTTAAAAGCAACAAGGAAAACATAAATCAATGTCAGCATTTGTGAACATTTAGTGGTAAATTGAATGAACAAATAAAATGGTTTGGGGAAAGTTCATTGCCATTTTCTTCTGGTCATCAAGGTCTTGACATATTGACATATTAGAGTATTATTAGTTGGATTTTGAAAGTGAAAGATCCACACCCAATGAGCAATATGACAAATGAAAGATAACTGGAGCAGTGTATTGCAGGAGTGAGGTAGCAAACAAAGATCAGAGCTCACCCTCATCTTTTCTGCTTGAAGACCTATCATCCTAGTAGTGATGACATCACTTGCAGTAGCAGCCACCTAATACTTGTTGAGTACTCACAACTAGGTACTCTGTTAAGCAATTCTCTTTCACCCTCTCAACAGTATGAAGTAGATACTATTACAGTCCCCATTCTACAGCTGAGGAAAGTGATGTTTAGAGAAGTCCATTCTGTTTGCCCAAAGTCACAATAGTTGGTCAGTGGCAAGATGGAGACCTTGGCCTAGAGTCTTTTCCTGTTCTTCAACCTTTGTCACCTTACTTTGCTGTATTTGCTTCTCATTTTTTTTTTTAAGGTGAGCATTATCACAGTATTATTTAAAGAAAAAAAACAGCTTTTTTTTTTTTTGCCTATGAAATAAAAATTCTAAAGTCTGACTTTGCCATACAGTTTGAAATACATTTTAAAAAGCTTCCTGAAAAAGGTCATATTCTTAGGAATCAGTAGTTTAGGACCATAAAATAATTAAAGAATGTTCTCTATTTACAGCTATTTACTTTCAAGGTTCATCAGTGAATAATAAATAACTCCTTTAATTTTCTGAAGTGATGGCATTGCTGATTCTTATAACCTTGATTTCATATTTATGTTTTTCCCCCTCTTCTAGCACAAAGGCTGTGAGCCGCTTTCACTCTCCCTTTGTTGTAGAAAATTACAGACATCTGAATCAGCTCCGGGAACAGCTAGTCCTTGACTGCAACACTGAATGGCTTGATTTTCTAGAGTGAGTTTGCAATGATAAATATAATCTGACTTTTTGCTATGAGAAATAGACCGGAAAATCTTTCCATCAAAAAGAAAAGTAGAGATTACTGCTTGTGACCTGCTATAAAATAGTTGAGTATTTGTGTTCTTGAGTTTTATTTTTAATCCATTGAAACATAAGCTTGTTTTAGTCTTTGGTGAGACCAAACACACATTATTGTTTCTGCACTAATATTTTGTTGTTAATAATATTTAGTAGAGTCACTTTGAAATTCTACCTTGGAATTTACCTTTCTTATTAAAGACTTCGTGTCTCTTTCAGAGATGGACAGGTTTGGGCTAGTTGCTTTGTTTTTATTATCTCCATTTAATTTTTTTTAATGACTTTATTATGTTTGTTTGTGTGTGTGTGTGTTTATTTATTTATTTAATGTTGGGCTGAAGATCGAACCCAGTTCCTCACACATGCTAGGCAAGTACTCTAGCCCTGAGCCACATTCCCAGCCCTTCATTTAATTTTTAAAAAAATTTTAGCAGCTTGTGTTTTTTTTTTTAAGGGGAGAGAGAGAGAGAATTTTTTAATATTTATTTTTTTAGTTTTCAGTGGACACAATTTTATTTATTTTTATGTGGTGCTGAGGATCGAACCCAGTGCCCCGTGCATGCCAGCCGAGCGCGTTACCAATTGACCACATCCCCAGCCCCAAGTTTCAACTTTTTGCTGCATTTGTTTTGTATCTCTCATATGTATTTAATGTATATATATTATATGTATATATACTATACACACATTTTTTCTGAACATTGAAAGTAAGTTTTAGACATCATAATACTTTATCCTTAAATAATTAAGCATAAATCTTCTCAGCGTAAGAACATTCTGCTATATAATCTTAAAACCATTACGATACCTAAGAAAAATTAATATTAAGAATATATTTGAATGTCTTGAATTTCCTGAACACCTCCCATCTCTTATTTTTCTTTTTTTTTTTTTTAGTGGTACTAGATATGAACCCAGGCATGCTTTGTCACTGAGCAACATTCCCAATCCCTTTTATTTTGAGACAGTCTTGCTAAGTTGCTGAGGTTGCCCTTGAACTTGCAATCCTCCTGCCTCAGCTTCCTGAGTTACTGTAATTACAAGCATGTGCCACGATGTCCAGCCCCTCTCCAATTTTTAAATGAAAGATCTAGTTAACTTTCACACAATGCATTTGGTTATTATGTTTCTTTAGTCTATTTGAATCAGTAGTTTGCCACCTTTTTTGTTTTCATAACATCACAAAAGAATATGATACTTATGGTATATTATTAAATAAAGAAAATGATGTAAAATAATATTGAAATATGACACAACTTATGTGTATATTCATATAATGCACAGCATATAAACATATTTTTAAAGATAGAATGCATATATATGCTAGTGTATTAATTATTAGTTTGCTGATTGACCATATGTATATCTTAAAAGATATATGTGGACACACAAACACACATACAGTGGCCTTTAATTTGCAGTGGGATCACATTCTGATAAGCCCATCCTAAGATGAAAATATCATTAAGTCAAAATACAATTAATTAAAAAATACAATTAATTCATTTCATAGCTTAGCATATCATACCTGCAACATGTTCAGAACACTTACATTAGCCTATAGTTAGGCATCTTGACAGAGTATCACACCACATATTACTATCCTGAGAAAAAAATCAAAGTTCATTCAAAATATAGATTCTACTGAATGGTTATCATTTCTACACCATTGCAAAGTTGAAAATTTATAATTTGTACCATTGTAAGTTGGGGATCTTCTGCTGGTAGACTCATGATGTTAACTGATTAGTTCTAGATAGTGAGATCAGTAGTGATACTAAATCCTCTATTTTGCCAAGACATGATTTATTACTTTAGAACTTTATATAATGTGCATATATTACTTTAAAAATAAAGATGTGCATTAAAATTTTTATTAAAAAAAAGTTACATGAATTTAGCTAGAGCATTTGCAGCTAGAGCCCCATTTTTAAAAAAACCACATTGTTATGCACACTGTTTATTGAGCTGCCAGATGGTGTGAATATGATATCATAAAAAAAAGATTAACCTCAATGAACCTGACATCAGAGGATTGAATACCAGCAGTAAGTGTATTATCCCTGACTGAGGTACTAACTGTTGGGCATTAGTCATATTACTTTTGATAAAAATGCTACAAAACAATCAAGGCTATAAACACTGCTGCCACTAAAATTCTTTCTCAAAACAGGTAACTCTTTTATATTCTGGAAGATGAAATCTGGATTTTGAGTAATCTTCTCAATTGCAAATTTGTTAAATTTTCTCAGATAATAGTTCCAATATTTTAGAAATGAATTTGAAAGTAAAATGTAAAGTATTTTTTATTCATATTAGCCCCCAATATTTCTGAGCAACATTTGATAATAAACTTCTCTAGTCATCATAATAGCTTTAAGTATCTTCACCTAATTCCCATAGACCCAGCAACCTCTTTTGGCCAGAAATTAATTCACTGTGCTTTGACTTCAGCCTTAAATTTATTGTGATAAGGTTGCATAAACTTGATCTTTAGGATTGTTATCTGAGTTACCCATCTTTCAGCTTGTTATTTTTCTAAGTATGGATTATCTTTGAAATTTTGTAAGGTGTTGAAAAATAGAAAAAAGCCAATAAATCAAACAAGACTTCTTTAATAATAGTAATGATGATGTTTAAAGTTTATGATAATTTTCATTTATTCATATGCCTTATTTTATTCATCATTGACATGAGAAAGAACATTATTGTCCATATCAAAATAATTATCTTATCCTTTATTTCTTTTTGTGTTTTATTAACTGAAATTGTACCCACTGAAAGCTATGTTTATTCTTTCCATCCTGGAAATTAGAATATTATGAGAGACAGTTACCTTCAACCCTGAGGCTGCTGGGTAGTAACAAATCAGGGTGGCTTGTACAAGATCTGAGTAGAGAGTGAGAGTAAAAAAAAACTTAGTGCCAAAATTCTTTGACACCCATGTCCAGAAAGGCAAAGGTAGAAACATCAAATATGACTGCTCTCTAGTAAGAGAGGGTCCCAGGATGAGAAGACCAGGCCTATTTATAATTAGGACAGGGATGGCATAGTCCAAGGTGTAAATGAGAGGTCAGCTTTCCAAACAGAGCCGGCTCAGGAATAACAAGGCACTGTTACTGGGCAGCCACCTTCCAGAGTTAGGGCCTTACAGCATATGGCATCTTCACAACTAGGAGGCTTGCTTATGTATGTATGTATGTATGTATGTATATATATATTTATTTTCCCCTCTTTCTATCCAGTACTGGAGATGAACCCAGGGACATTCTAACTGAGCTACAACCACAGATCTTTCTCATTTTAGAGAGAGATTCTGGCTAAATTGCTGAGGCTGGCCTCAAACAATAGGCTTGTAGTCATCCTGCCTGAGCCTCTTGAGTTGCTGGGATTATAGGTGTGCACCACTGTGGTGGGCTACTAGAAAGCATTTTTAAGGTGGCATCTGAGGACTTCCTGACTGATACTAGGGATGCATTCCTGCTGTATTTGGGATTTACAGGCTCTTAATTCATAAATTATATGAATTACTGTTAATGTAATTCATATAATTTATTTTGATGAACTTTAATTCAGTGAGAAGTAGGTAATTAATTATGCTTTGTCTATTCAAAGAAGTGTACTGTGAATATATTTTTTGATTTCACACTTAGTCAACACAAAAATAAAGCTAAATACTTAAAATGTTCCCAGTTTTCAGAAAATATTTTCATAGAATATCATGATAATTCTAGAAAAATCCCAGAAACAATTTTTTTAAAAAATCAAAGACAGTGATCATTTATAGGAATAACTGATCATTGTAATAACAATGGGATATCCTTTTAAGCTATGAAGCATTCTGAAAATGTTTGGAGTTAAGTAACAAATAGACTAAATCTCAACATTTCTGAAAAACGCTTTTTAAGAGAGGTTTTCCAATGTAACTCCTCCCTCCCTTTTATAGCACCATATAACAAAGAGCTCAATTTGAATCTTGGTGTTGCTATTTAATAATTGTGAGATGTAGGCTTTATTGCTTTAATCTCTCTGAACTTCATTTATAAAACTTAGGTAATTAAACCTACCTTGATGGTTGTTATAAAGAAATATAGGTGCCTTTCTTAGTCACTGGTTAGTAAATATTGATTTTTCACTTTGACTTTTTCTTGGACCTTCTTTGTAGTTAACTTAGTTATCATTATATTCCCTCATTTTCCAATCTTTGAAGAATTTGAGGCTTATCATCACCTAAATTTAAATTTTTTTAATTAAATAAAAGTTGTTAATCCCTCTTGGAAGCAGAATAATTATTGTAAGAATTTAAGCTTAGTTATATATTTTATCTTAAAAAGACAATTCATCCTAAGCATTTAAAAAAAATAAGTTTTGGATCCTTTTTGTAGTATAATTATATGTATTTCAAATATCTATAACAGATCATTACAAACAGATGTTCACAATTTATATTGTATGGTACACATTGAAATATAATAATATGAAACAAGGTAATTGGGCACTTTAGGAAAAACAACAACAAACACCTGTACACATTTCTACACTTTTCCTGACCAAGTCTTTTAAGCTTTTAGATCACCAGGTATTATAGTTTAACTGGCCAAAGATTTGAGATGATGACTATTATCTTTTAAAAAACAAATCTGAAATTAAATTTTTATAAACATTATTCATAGGATAACTGAAAAAAATTACTTTTTCCCCTTGCTTGTCTTTAACAACTATTTATTACCATATCTATTCTATGATAGGAGTGTGGAGTAGACCTAGGGGTACAAAAACAGGTGAGTCTGCCTTTAAGAGGCTTCCAGTTCAGTGTGAGAGGTATTGAAATTGTTATTTTAGGTTTGGATGTTCCTGTATAAGAGGATCCCAAAGGGAAGCTCACCTGTCTGAGTAGCTTATGATATGTTGGAGCTTAATGCAAATTATTTCTTATATGTAAGTTGTTCATTATATATAAGTTGAAATATCATAGTCAGATGAAATGTATAGTATAGTATAAATAGTAGGTACCTGTATATACAAGGTATATTAAAAATAATGGTAGTTCAACCGAGTTCCCATCTGTCTTACTTGTTAGGTATACTGCTTATTTGGGGGGTTCTTACATTAGCATAGTTCTTAGAGATCTAAGACATTAACTTGATCATTTTGTTGTTGTTTCTATAGGAATTTCAATAAACATTATCACTCTTTGTGTAAAGCAGTGCATCACCTAGCAACCATTGACTGTATTTTCTCGCTGGCCAAGGTCGCAAAGCAAGGAGATTACTGCCGGTAATATCTTTTATCTCTTCTCTTTATCATTGCTTCAGATGAAATTGCATTATTCAATTAATTCTAGTGTCTTTATTATAAAATATTGCAGTTACTCAAATGTGTCAGATTTTTGGTAAAGTGAAATGTCATACACATAAAGCTTGATTTGAAAAAGAACAAATTCCTTTATTCCTTTATTCCACCTATTAGTACAATGAAAGCAGATGTTTCTAACTCTAGAAATGAATGTTATATTTTAATTTTTAAGTTTATGTGGTCAATATATTGATAAAGTTTGAGTACCCCTTTCTTATGCTGACATTGATTTGAAGACTTTACATCATTTTAAACTTTATAAAAGCTTGATTAGGGCTAGGACTGTGGCTCAGCAGTAGTGCACTTGCCTAGCATGTGTGAGGCACTGGGTTTGATTTTCAGCACCACATATAAATAAATAAAAATAAAGATCTATCAACAGCTAAGAAAAAAATTTAAAAAGAGAAAAGAAAAGCTTGATTAGCTAAAAAGGATTGAAGGAGAATGGACATTTCTGTGATTTTCCGTTCCTCCTGAGAGCCCAAATTCATCCCATTATTCTTTATTGGCTTTTAAACACTCCAACATGGTTTATTCTCCTTTCCATTGTGGATGTTAGTATGAAATAAACCTAACTTTAAATTTTAGCTCTAACTTTTAGGAAAATTTTTTGTCTTCCAAAAGCTTGAGGGACACACACACACACACACACACACACACACACACACA